GGGGCACCCGGGGGCTGCAGGCCCGGGAGTCCAGGGAGGGGACTCAGGTAGCACAGTGACCCTGTCGGGACAGCGACCTGGGCAGTGCCCGGGCAGGAGGGCCTCTTCCCCAGAGCTGCTCCACATTTCCCATCCCCACGGCACTGGTCGATGCAGTTTAACTCTAAGCCTGTCAGCTTCTGAGCACAAGCAGGGACCCGCCGGTTCAGGGTGCATGTCCCAGGGCAGGAGTTGTGCCCACGAGCCCCTCGTGGAAAGCCCGGTCTGACGGTGGGTCCCCGGTGCCATTGCGCAGCACCGCACAAAGTAAATGTGCGAGCAGCGTAAATTTAGAAACTCATTGGAAATGCCGTACTTGCTCTTCTGCGACGCTCGTGGAGGGGGTCGGCTCTGTGCCGGGCCCTGACCGTGGGAGGGGAACACGAGGGTCTCACTGGGCAGCGGGCCGGTGCTGGGGCGGCTGTGCCCATCATCCAGGGCCCATTTCACATCAGCCTGGGTTCATCATCTCGTGGTGCCATTCCACGTCTCCCTCAAGGTCTCTCACCCAAGCTTGTCCTAGCTGCAGAAGTGGGAAGCGCCTGCTGTCACCCGCGGCCATTGGGTGTTGCCTTTAGTTCTTCCTGCATCGCTGCTGTTTTGGCAGAGCTCAGGCCTTCATTTCAGAGCATCGCAGACAAGGGTCTGCAGGTGTCTGCTGGCGTGGCTGTGCCCCCTCTAGCGTTGCCCATACACGTTCTCTGCATGTTTTCTCGCTCTCACTGTGCTGGTCTGGGTGTTTTGTGCTGCACTGGTCCACGGCTTTGCCTGGGAGGGACTGCATCCTCCCTGGGCACTGCCTGACAGCTCAGCTCATGGAGGAGATCCGAAGCATCCCCTCAAGGGACAGCACAGTACAAGGCTGGGAGCGATGTTCTAAGCCGGAGGGTGAGTTTTGCATGGGAGATGCGGTTACGGTGAGCCTGCGAGGGGAGCAGCGAGCCACTTTTGGCAGCCAGTGGCATGGGGATGGAGCCACTCTGTTGAGGGCTCGGCGGGAGACGTGGGAGGGGTGTGGGGTGGGAACCATGTGCCTGGAACGTGGAGGGTCCTGCGTGGGACGGTGTACGTGGGCAGCAGAGAAAAATGGTTTTTGGGATGGGGTGTTTTGCTCAGGTACAAACCCAAGCCTGCCAGGTCCTTCTTCTGATCTGTGTGTCTACTTTTCCCTTATTTTTTCCCTTCTTTATAGGAATAGTTTCTTAGGTGTGTGTTGCGGTAGATGTGCCGTCTGTCCTCATAATTCTAGCCTCAGGGATACTTAAGAATTGTCCCTTTGTTGCTGCTGTGAGGGCTGATAGTCCTTGTCTTATCCAAGCAGCTCTGCTCTGATTTATTCTGCCCCAGGATTAGGGTTTTGTGGTTGGCTTATACCAACCAAAGTCTGATTTGGGGTCAGGCGGTTCAGCCAATCAAGCTGGAAGCCCAGTTTGGGAAGGGTATAAGGAGGAGGAAGGTAAGGGCCAGCTTTTCTACAGATACACGGGTTTAGATCAGCTAAAACCCATCACAGAATAGCACCAGCAGCGTCTCTCCCATGTCTATGGCATCAAGTGAGGAGGGACTCGCTGCCTCTCAGCTCAGGTACTTTCTCATCCTCTGGCCAGTAATGTGGGAGCAGCTCCTGCTGCTTGCAGACTCTCTGATGCTGTACATTGCTTTTCGCTGCTTTTTGTCTTATTAGTTAAATCTTTAAACTCTTGAAGGAAGTCTGTAAAGTTATTCCTGTTCAAACAAAACTCTGTCCGTTAAATCTAGGTAGTAAAAGGATCACCCTGATGGTCTGTGCTGGAGCCTGCTGCTGGGGTGGGACTGCAGATGGAGCCGTTTGCCCTAAAGCAGCAGTTTATGAGTGTGGGTTGGGCTGTAACTATTGGAGAACTCGGCTTTGGTGTGGGGAGAGTGAGGGAGAGGCTGTGTAATGCCCCCGGGAAGAAAAGGGGCAGCTGCTTTGCTCAGAGCAGGGTGAGAACAGAGCTGGCGTTAACCATTTTGCAGGAGAATGTTCATAAACATCTTCTGTAATGAGTTTCCTGGATTATAAAGTGGGTGATGGGCTGGTGGTACTTACCTGGGAGAGGATAGTGTGAGACTCAATATAGTGCCAGAGAAAAAAACACATATGGAGTTAGGTAGTGGAAGCTTTTGCACCTTCTTTGAAGGTTAAGGTAAAGATCCTTATTTAGGTTGAGATTTTGAGGTTCCTGTGTCCACGTTATGGATAGAAGTCAAAGAAAAAAAGGGGAAAAACAGTGCTGCATTGGCCGGGAATCGAACCCGGGCCTCCCGCGTGGCAGGCGAGAATTCTACCACTGAACCACCAATGCTACAGCTGCCTGCACAGCTGCCTGCACAGCTGCCTGCACAGCTGCCTGAGCCTCCCTGGCTGGCCAGTGGCTCTGCCACAGGGGAGCTGGGGCTGAAGGGCTGGTTGGGTGACCCGGGACCTTGAAGCAGTTGTGTAGGCTGGTGGCGTAACAGGTCTCTTCGTTTAAGCACAGCTGATGCGTTAAATATCTTTGGGTAACGAGCTGCAAGTTTCTGGGGGGGAGGAGGAGGTATTGCATATAGAAACCTTGTGGGTTTTTTGTTAAGGTTTGTGCTGTTTAAGAGTATATTTAAATGAACTATTAGTAGTATATTTAAATATGTGGAATATTAGCTGAAGTGATGTGTGGGTGGCTGGAAAGGTCCAAAATCTTAGTGCTGGGCATGGGCGTGGTGGACAACAATTCCCTACCGAGCCACCAGCGCTTCTGGTGCCTGCTGAGCAGTTCTCTGCTGCCGTCTTGTGCTGTGTTGGGGGTAAACGACCCCCGTAACCCTCACTGTTGGAGTAGGTGTTTGAAGACCTGGTGGTCTCACACAGCTTGAGGTGGGTCTTGAGAGTCCATCCTGGGCTGGGAGTTCATGAATGGTGTAGAAGGCTGTAGGCTGGGACCAGTAGGAGGGCAGCGAGCCACTGTGGATGTGAGTGGGGAGGAGGAGAGAGCTCTGGTCTCAGTTGCGGGTTCCTTCAGCATTCCCTGTTTTGGTACTGCTTTCTCTGGCATTTGTTGTGGCTAAACGTCCCTGTTTCTGACAGCCACGGGGAGCCAAGCTCCCGAGCATTTGTATCGGGCTGAACCTAAAGCCCCCTGGGTACTTTCCTCTTCTCTCCCCAGGCTGGTGCGAGAGTTTGTGGCTCAGAACAACACATCTCAAATCAAACACGTGATCCAGATCCTGTCGCAGGAGTTTGCACTGTCCCAGCACCCCCACAGCCGGAAAGGGGGACTCATTGGCCTGGCCGCTTGCTCCATTGCCCTGGGCAAGGTAGGTGCAGGTGGGGTTTTTTGGCTTCTGTGGGTTATGGTGGGAGAACAACAGTTCCTCCTGGGTCAGCGTGATGGGAAGACTCAGGCTGGTGGCCCTGCAGCTCCCTCCCTGCATTGCAGCCTATGGCTGGGTTGTATTTGAGTTTCCTCAATATGCCCAGCCACATCCTTTGGACACAGGAGCACTTTCTGGCCTGGGTCACATCTTGGCAGCTCCCTAGGTGTGGTTTAAGTGCATCTGTCCATTCTCTGTCTCTAGCAGCTGGACTAGACTCGGCAGGTTGGGTACTAATTTGCGTTAACAGAGCTGAGAAGAGTTGCAGCCCTTCCTTCTCTCCCCCCTAGCTCATCTGGCTCCAGCAGTGCGGGCAGGGCCTTTGGGAAGCAGGGCCAAGGTATGGGCCAAAGGGTGGCAGAGTCATAGTCGAAGTAAGCAAGCGGTGTAAAGTGTCAAGCTGCATTAGCCTGAGATAGTAGCTTTCTGTTGGGCTCGGCAGAAGTTTTACTTGCTGAACGTGTGGATTGCTCAGTCCTATTCTGGAGGTGTTATATTGACGCCCCTTGTGTGGGAAGTTGGCTGATTTCTGTCCCAGTTAAGGTCTTTCTCTATAACTTTCCTCTCATTAACAAGAACAAGCTCAGTAAGTTGCCTCCAGGGCTATGCCAGAGCATCCAGATCTCTGTGGAGGAGAGCACAGACTGCAGGCTCATGGCTCCGTTGGGCTTTTGAGTCAAACCATGCGGCTGGTTTTTTGAAAGCGCCTGCAAGGGGACTCTTTCCACCTGGTCCGTAGTAAGGTATATGTCAACGAAAGCAGAGGGCTTGGGAAGAGCAGGCTGTGCCTGTTGGAAGAGCTACGAGGTAGATTTTAATTAATTTATTCCCCTTGTAATGAGAGTCATGATCGGTCTGAGCAGATGCTTTGAAGCCTTACGGCTTTTACGTTAACTGCCTTTACGCTGGTGGCCGGGAGCTTCTGAGCAGTACTCCTGTTTTCATTCTCTTGTTAAAATGCAGAATCTCTTTGTGAAATCCTCCTTCCTGGGATGAGCAATGCTCTGCTCTGCCCTCAGCCCAGGCACGTAACCCATCTTCTCTTCCTGCACAGTGCAGGGGCAGGCACTCCGTGCTGCCAGAGCTGCCAGTACAGCTGGCTTTGGGGGATGGAGTTGGTTTTGGTGGCCTTGAGGGCCACTGATAAAACTTGGAGTTGAGCTCTTTAATCTGCTAGTCTGCACATTGTTGATTTTCTTACCATCTCCTTTGCTAGACACTCAGGAAATGCCAGCCTGTTTCCCCAAAGTAGGGGGTTTTTAACTTCAAAACAAGCCAACATTCTGTCTCCACTTCTGGGTTTGTCTGAAACTCCTGCTGTGCTGGTGAATCCTTCAAGCAGAAGTCTTTTGGGCTGGGGAGCAACCTCATTAATATTTTGCTATATTTTGCTTCTGAGCAGGGTTAGGGTCAGCCTAGTGTGGCCCTTGCATGGTGCAGGGGGACAAACTTCAGCATGTAATATGAATTTTGCTTGGGAATTAGTGCTATAGTCACTTCATCCGACAGATATGTCCACCTTAACTCCGCAAGCTGTTGTATCTCCTTATCCGTAAGCAGCTGCATAGGCTGAAGCTGCTCCTCTTCTGGTAGCTGGGACCACGGTTGAGTTGGTGTTTCTGGAGACAATAGGGCAGGAAGGTGCTTTGGGGCTGCTGGTTGTCTTTCTTTTTGTGAAGAGTGTATCACCAGCTCCTCTGTGCTCCCCAGCTCTTGACATTACAAAGAGTAGCCCAACAGACCAAGGGTTTCTTTGCTTAGCTGAAGGTGCAGGTGGGCTTGATCTGTTGCTGTCTGGGATGTTCCCCCTGGTCCTGGAAATGTGGGTGGGTTTACACCAAAACCAGCCAGCAGAGTGGAATAAATCCTGGCTGCCAGCTGACTGCTGCAAGGGCTGGTGACCACTGGCTTTGTTGGGGACCTGCCTCGTCTCCTGCCTGCAGGGCAGAGAGGCAGGGACAGATTTCTCTGTGGACCAGTCTCCAGCAGAGATGAACGGCGTGCTGGGGGAGGCAGCCCCTCTTGATTTGCAAGGTGCTCGGAGTGGGTGGTGAATAACTGCCCAAATGTCTTGTGCATCTGTGGGAATCAAAACCAGCCAAGTACAGCTGCAGTAATCACTTTAGTTGCTGGTATAGACTTCCCTGAAACAATTTCTCAGGTGACTCTCACTGTACCTGAATAATATAATTCAATAATTTCAATAATAAAATTCAAAATTCATTAATAAATCCTATCCAGCATAGGTGCACTAAGCCGTTATGGGCCTGAATTTTTGCAGTATGTTCCAGGGCAGCGCCATCTCTTCCCTCTCCCTGTGGCATGGTCCTCAACTAATCAGTCTCGTCCTGTCCACCAGGACTCTGGACTCTACCTGAAGGAGCTAATTGAGCCGGTGCTGACGTGTTTCAATGACGCCGACAGTCGGCTGCGGTACTATGCTTGCGAAGCCCTCTATAACATTGTCAAGGTGGCCAGGGGCTCCGTTCTCCCACACTTCAACGTGCTCTTTGATGGCCTCAGCAAGGTAAGAAGCTTTCTCTCAACCCCCATGTGTTTTTCTTTCCCACACTGGAGAAGTAGGATTCATTCTCTAGTCCTTTTCTTCTCTGGGTCAAACCAACCAAGTTGTCCAAGGTTTTTTTTCCAGGTAAACTGGTTTGCTTTGACCCAGGCAGGTCTGAGGGACTGAATGAGCAGTTTCTGCAGCAACACACTGGCCACTGATGTTGTGGGTGCTAAAGTTCACTGCAAGATACCTTGTTTTCTGTCCTCATCTCCAGAATATATTTTCCTGCTCCTTATTGAGTGGTATTAGGAAATAAGGTTGACAGGACTGCTGGAGGCAAGGTGGCTCTGCAGCTCTACGGCTTTGTGGGTTCTGTAGTGTCAAAAACACATCTACGTATGCCTGTCTTTGCAGCTTTTCACTGGAAACTTGTATTTCTCTACCATTTAAGAGCATGGCTGTTGGCCTATGAAAACCCATGTAGCTGGGGGAGGTGATGGGTGCTTGATATCTCCCTTAGGATGTCTCTCAGGAGAATTTGTTGGAGCCTAATGAGGAGTTGGAGATAAAGGGACTTCTCTGTGTTCATCCCTGTAAACGCCAAAGGAGAGTAACAGTCCTGGGAGCCCCACTGCAGAGTGGGGAGCAGACCTGGGACCCATTGCTGCCATGGCTCTTGTTTCTGTCATTCACAGCTGGCTGCTGATCCTGACCCAAATGTCAAAAGCGGCTCGGAGCTCCTCGATCGGCTTCTCAAGGTATTTCTTCTCTCCTGAGAGTCCTTGGTGCAAGCTGCAGGCATGTCTTGGCTGGGGATGTGTCAGTCCCTGAGGCTGCAGCTGCTAAAACTGTCCTAGCTCAGTACTATGGCTACTGTCAAAACATTTCTTTCTCTCGCTGACTGTAGTCTTTTAGGTTCAGGGTCTGGTGGCAGTCTCAGGCACCTGGGTTGTGAGGGGCTGGTAGGTTATCGCAGTGCCACGTGTGTGTTCAGCTGTTGGGAGCCGGGTGTCTGGGGAAGCAATGTTTTAGTCCGAGTAGGGTTGCAGCCCTGTCCCAGGCAGCAGAAGGGCTGTTCCTCTGCTTTTCCTCCCTTCCGTAAGTGAGTAGCAATGTGAGTGGAGCTGCTCTGCTACTGCTTTGGGGTGGGCGGTTCGGTTCCCTTTCCTGTTCTGCCTGCCAACGGGCTTTTACTCTCACAGACCTCCCAGTTCCTTTTCTGCTATTCAGAGATGAGTGGCTCCCTGCCAGATCTTGCCCTCACTCCTCTTCGTTATCGCAGCAGTTAATGCGGTCTCTGCATCACCTGCTGCAAACCTTCCTGCTGGGAGATCTGCTCCACCGTACTGGTGTGAGAGACTTAGCCAAGCAGCAAAATTCACCAAGTGAGTAGGAAGAGCTTTAAAGCCAGGGGACTCTCCCGCCCCTGATACACATGGTTACATCAAAGGTGCTTGCTCATGTGTGCAACATACCTCTGACGCATCAATCGGAGAAGCTCCCGTCCTCCTCCTGTTCAGCTGGGCTGGCACACAGCAGGCAAGAGCCTCCCTCTCTGGGTCCCACTCAGCATTAGTCCCTGCCCAAGGGGGATTACTAGCTCATTGCCTGAATAAACCATGTGATTCCTTCTCCCCAGGTCTCCTGACCCACAGACGCATGCATCAACTGCTTGTCATCTTTTTCCTGTCATGTGCCTTAAAAAGGCTGGATGGGGGTGGCTGCGGGGGTGCGGGGTGGTGGCCATCCCTCCTAACACCCTCTGCTTGGGCTCTGCAGGATATCGTGACAGAGAGCAACCAATTTGACTTGGTAGGCTTCATCCCACTGCTGCGCGAGAGGATTTACTCCAACAACCAGTATGCCCGGCAGTTCATCATATCCTGGGTAGGTGTGCACAGCGCCACGTGTGCCTGTCAGTCTGAACTCCAAAATACTGTGACCTGTCAGCATCCTGTCTCTGGGCAAACAGCAGATATCCATGGCGATGTGTGAACTCAGGCACCTGAATTTATTTGGGCAGGTTTTTTAAGCTGGCAGATTTTTTTCACCTGCTAGGTTAAAATGCCAGCTCCCTGTCACCTTGCTGTTGCAGTCACGGGGACATCATACTGCATTTCTGCCAACCTGGTTCAGGACATTGCACATGAAGTTAGAAAATACCATCAAAGCGTTGCTTGTAAAAATAGATATGCTGTGGTCTAGAGGTTATAGTCTCCTAAAGGACAGTGCCAGGCTGCTTTCCATCACCCAGTGGTGATGGAGGGACGTTGTTCTCCAGGAGGCAAGGGATGTCTACTTGCTTTCACCTTTCTGTGCAAGACAGGAGCTCTCAGTACCTGGCTGGGGTTTGGGGAGAGATGCGTGCTGCTGCACTCTTTCAGCCGTACTTTTTGCTGTCCCAGGTCTGTCTGCATGCATCTTGGCAGTCATTCCTGATCCCTGCTCTATTTTACAGAGTGGTGATTGGAAACGTAGCAACACTGCAGGCTGATTGCTTGCTTCCTGTGCTAGCCTAGCTTCTTTCTGAGATGGGCAGCTCTGTGCTGTTCTCTTGTTCTTCCCCCCCATCCCACACAGCGCAACTCTGAATTCCTCAGTACTGCACCAGATTTGTGCTAGTGATGTTAGCTTCTCCAAAACTCACTTTTTCTTTCTTATTCTTCCCCTGAGCTAGATCCTGGTCTTAGAGTCTGTGCCTGACATCAACCTCTTGGATTATCTGCCAGAAATCCTGGACGGGCTCTTCCAGATCCTGGGAGACAACAGCAAGGAGATACGGAAAATGTGAGTGTGGAGGCTGGTCCGGCATGAGGGCTGTGTCTTGCTCGCCATCTGTCCATCACCCTCTTCGTTTGCTTGCAACAATTCCGTATAACTGCAGCAAAATCCTGCATGCGTGGTGGGAGACAGCAATCTAGCTGTCTTGGTCGGTGGATCAAAGTGTCCTTGGCAAGGGCTTCTCTTCCCTAGCTTGATGTGGCTGGAATGGCTGTGGAGGACACCGTGGTCTGTGCTGGGGGACAAACTGTTTTGACTTGGTTGAGCTGTTGCCTTCTCAGCCCTTGCACCCAATATCAGAGCTGCAGAGGCTCATGTGTGCTTCTAGGATGCGCTCTGAGCTCTGTGAACAAGCTTTGCAGCATGCGAGCCTCTCTCAGCAAGATAGAGCACCAACCCAGCATCTCCTGGATGGAGAAGAGAAGCAAGCATTGCGAGCTTGCTCCTGAGATCCATTGCTGGTCTCAAGACAAGGGCATTTTGAAGCACAGCAGTGGTTGGGTATTCTCAGGGAGGTCAGAGAATCTTGGCTTCTTGTGCTGGGAGAGAATAACTGGACCTGTTTTGTAGGGTATAAGTCAGTGGTGAGACTGGCCTGGGTCTATCCTGCTGCCAAGCCCTCCTGGGTCCTCCCTGCTTCTTTGTTTCCCAGTGTCCATGTGTTGAGGAACAAGCGCTGAAAACTTTGGGTATCATCTGCCCCCCTGCTCCCCTCTGTGCTCCCCACCCCAGGCACACCTCGATCTCAACAGAGCCTTTGTGGCTATTAGGGCAGTTGTCGGAAGGTGCAGGGAGCTTCCAGACAGTCATCATCACCTCCATCCTCGCAGTTGTGTGCTGTCTCTGCCTTAGGCCAGGGCGAGCTTGTCAGCCTTGTCCTTCCTGGCCCTGCCCCTGTGCAGAGGCACGCCTGTTGTGCCACCAGCATCCTTTTTATGTATGCATGTAGGAGGCTGGTCTCCATAACTTCTTGGTCCAGGGCAACTGAGCGCTAACCAGCTGCTCTGCCTCTCTGCAGGTGTGAGGTGGCTCTCGGGGAGTTCCTCAAGGAGATCAAGAAGAATCCCTCCAGCGTCAAGTTTGCAGAAATGGCCAATATCCTGGTGATTCACTGCCAGGCGGCTGGTGAGTGCACAGGACCAAGCGGTAGCATCCGCCTCCAGGTTTGCAGTACCGACCATAGTTTCGGGCCAGGAGCTTTCCAGTGGGCTGTTCACCAGCTCACCCACTTGCCTTTCCTTTGTCATTGTGCGTGCAAATCCTGCTGAAAGCGGGGAACAGGCAGCTTGCTCATGGTTAGCACTACTGCTCTTGTACTGCTCATCCCCCAGCCTCAAATTTAGGTCTGGCATCCTCCAAAGCAGAGGTGCCTGGAAGTAAAATATCTGGCTGTGGTTATCCAGCACATCTAGAAGGGATCTCTTTAGGGGCTTGTCTTAACCTCTGGTGGCACTAGGTGCATAGGCAGGACAGTTAAACGTGATGTGCCTGGTGCTTTGTGTTAGTGCTGCACTGTAGCTCCTGCAGGTCTGCTGTGTAGGCAGTGGCAGAGGGTTACAGATGCAGTTGGATCTGTTTCCTGAGAAGGATCTTGTCCCTGAGCTGTGCTTATTGAGCTTAAACTGCTCTTTAAACGCTGCTGAAGGGAGTGGGTTTCTTGCGAGATAGAAGAATAGAAATAGAACGAGACTGCTTGCTCTTGATTAAACTGATGCCCAATAAATTTACATTGTTTAACCCTAAAATCTGGCCTTGCTTCGGCTAACTGCCCCAGCAGTGCTCCCTTTTTCAGAATTTGGGGAGGTTAACAAAACCCCGACTCTAGGAGCAACGCTTGACCCAGACACACAACTGCTCTAGGTGTGACAGAGGAAATATCCTTGTGTGTTGGGAAGCTTGACAGGATACTTGTAAATGGGGAAGCCTGGATTACGGATTGAACTGGGTTAACTCCGAAACCTAAAGATTGTGTTTAATCTCAGCCTCACTGCAGATTCAGGTCTTACCTATCTCTTCTGGGACTAAACTGTCCCAGACTAGGGTCTCTCTGGACTAGTGACTCTGGATGGAGCAGAGGCAGCTCTCTGCTTGCAGGTGGTCCTTGGTCTGTGGAGTTTGCTCAGCTGCCAGTGTTGTCCTTTCCCTCACCTTTGCTTGTCCCATGTCTTCCAGATGACCTGATCCAGCTGACAGCCATGTGTTGGATGAGGGAGTTCATCCAGCTAGCTGGCCGGGTGATGCTGCCTTACTCCTCAGGGATCCTGACTGCTGTCCTGCCGTGTCTCTCCTATGATGATCGCAAGAAGAGTATCCTTGTAACTTGGAGCTGCTCCGATTCCTGCTGCAGCAACCCACAGGGAATCGCCTGTTTCCTGCCCCTGGGGCGCAGGGCCAGCTGCACAGCTGGAGAGGGCCAGGAGAAGTCCTCCTGTCAAGTGCTAAAACCCACACCAGCCCTTTGGATGTGAGGGGGGTTGCAGTAGCTGGGCTGGGGCAGCCCTGGTGGGGCTGCGGTGGCTTCTGCGTGGCTGGCCAGATGTGGCACCTAGCCACGTGTGGGACTGCGTGTTCCTTACACTGCCTCCACTCAGACATCAAGGAGGTGGCGAACGTGTGCAACCAGAGCCTGATGAAGCTGGTCATCCCAGAGGATGATGAAATGGATGAGGCCAAGCAGTCAATGACCCTACCTGCAGAGCCCACCTCAGAGGAGTCTCTCTCCAAGCCAGAGGCAGCATCCAGCGGTGAGTCCCCGTTGGTCTGAGCCACTAGAGGTGGCTCAGGGGAAGGTCAAGGGAAGGTCCTCAAGAGAAGTTCTTGAGTTGGTTTGGTGTCCTGGGGCAGCTCAGGGCATATGGGACCTCTGTGCTTTCTTTGAGCCTTGGAGTCCTGTTCCACAGATGATCCTCTGCTGAGACAGACACGTTTGGTGCTGTCTGCGTAGCAGGGTCGTTGATCTGGCCTGGAGCCCAAGCAGTGCTGCAGTGCTGCGTTCCCTGGTGAGCATCCCCATCCCCTCACTGTGCTTCACTTTGACTTAGTGATTAAGCTGACCTGAAAAAGATTGTTTATAGTTAAGTGTTTAGTGTCTCGCTACATAACATGGGAAGAGAATAGCCCACCTGTCCTGCAGTGGATGGTTTGGGAGGAGCTGCCATCACCCAAAGGAGAGCTCAGAGAGCTGTATTAGTTCTGGGAGAGCATCAACACATGCGTGGAGGATGTCTGTGTTGGGGAAGGGTAACGAACAGAAAGTAAAACAATTTTGGGTCCTTTCTAGATTCATGGTGCTCTAGAGACCATCATGTGGGTGTTGTCCCAGTCCTAAAATTTCTGGAACAGAAAAGGCAGAAGTTTGCAAGTGGGACGGGAGACCTGGAAGAGCATTCAAGTGAGAAGAAACTAAATGGAGAGGGTCCTGGTAGACTGATGCCTAAAAACAGCAGCAGCTTCAGCTTTCCAGCATCCCTTTGATGCTGTTGTCCTGGGATAACTGAGTGCTACTTCTGGCACATTTTTGTGGTCCAGGCATGTGAAATAGGTGTAACATTTGAATTGTGTGGGTAATCTGTTGTATTCTTCTGGGACTGTACGTTCAGCCCAGTGCTCTTCTGTAACATGCCCGCAAGCGGCTTTTGGAATTCCTGCCGTGAGAGGGAGTAGGAAGGTGGGAATTAAAAGGCTGAGGGGTTTTCTTGTACAATAGCAGCCGGGTCGATGGCAAGGAGGCAGGGAGCTGTGTGGGGCAGCAGGCAGGTGGCAGTGTGCGGGGCCGGTAGGAGCAGGCAGCCGGGGCACAGAGACAGTAACAGGGCAGCATTGGTGGTTCAGTGGTAGAATTCTTGCCTGCCACGCGGGAGGCCCGGGTTCGATTCCCGGCCAATGCAGCAGGTTTTTTGGATGGGATGGGGTGGAAAAATTTAGTGCCATAGAACAGCAGCAAAAAGTTTTCTTTTTTGTTCCTTATTTGTCCCAAGAGTACCTCCTTTTATTAAAATCTATTGGAGAAGAGTTTTAAAACATCAACAGAAAGTTTAATTGCTTTAATCTCTACCCCTTTGGGGTAGGATTGCACCTTGAAGCAGGCAGGATCAGATCAACCTGTGATGCTTTTGCATTGCAAACTCTCAGCTCTGTTCCCTGGTTGTGCTGATGTGGTGGTGCCACTGCGTGTGTGAGTAGAGGCAGTTGGCACAAGGGGGCATGAGGATTCAAGTTCATCCCATCGTGCTTTGTTGCCGTGCTTGTAAGACCCAGTTTTAGCAGGGGGCTTAGGCTGGAAAGCTGTTTGGGGAGCTTGGTTTCCACATGGAGTCACACCGCAGGAGACCTGGCCAGGTGGAGATGTCCTGGGTTGGATTCAGCCTTTCCTATGCTTGTGTGGTGTCTCTAGGCATTGAAATCCGGACGATGGAAGGCAGCTCTGCAGTTCTGAGCTCCTTCTTTGAGAATGGTTGAAACCATCGTAAGGTTGTATCTGGGTCATTATTACAGATAAGGAGACCCAGTTTGGGGCGGAGGTCTGAAGCTGTGCAGCCTGCATTTTGCTGGATAAGTGCCGTCCTGTACCAGCTCCATCCAGTACCTCTGGTAGTGGAGAAGAGCTTGACAAGGAGTCTAAAATGCTCACTGCAGGCAGAAGGGATCCTCAGGGTCCCCAGACCCTCAGACGATGGCTGGTAATGTCTTGGCAGAAGGTCATGCAGCTCTCCAGCCTCCCAGTCCTGCTGTCCACCTTCCCTGCCATTCCACTAACCGTGTCTCCTTTTTATTGGCCCCCCCCAGGCTCTCTGGATGCATCCGGTGACTCCAACTTCAGCAACAGCAGTGTCTTCACAGTAACCAGGTAGGGTCTGTTTGTTGCTTCAAAGCAGCTTGAGAACAAGGGAGGGCCTCGAGGGGTACAGACGACAACTGACAGATGCTGACAAAGCTGCAGGGAAGGGTGGTCAGGGCTGGAAAGCAGTTTGGGGTCTCCTGGGCTACAGTGGGGTGGATGACTGGGGATGCTCTAGGAGCAGACTGCTTTTCTCTGATGCATTTGCACCAAAATGTCTTGACTTTATGGTAAACTGAGATATTTGTCCCCCACCCAGGAGACCTTGCAAAGTCCCCCAGGGAGGTCTGGTGAGGCAGCAAGTGTCTGTGCACTTGGGATTGTGCACCTCGCCTGTCTTGAAGCTCCCATGGTTGGGCACTTCAGCTAAAAGATAGGGTGAAGGTGGGGAGAAGGTGGATGGTTGTCTTGGTTATGGCTCTTCTAGCTTGGCCAAAATAGGAGGTATTTGGTTCCCTCCTGCCTTTGCAGGGGAATAGTGGTAGAGGAACAGCGGTGTGCTGGTCTGCCAGAGGTGCAGACACCTCATGAGAAGGTGGTATGTGAGCTGTCTGGGGCTGGCAGAAGAGCTTGGAGAGCGCTGACCCTGCTTCTGGGTACAACAGTCCTCCGTGCTGCAGTCCTGGCAGCCCACCACGGCACGGTGCTGTGGGGCAGCACCTGGGGCCACACTGTCCAGCTCCAGCTGCTGGAGAGGCAAGGGGTCTCGGCAGCATCTGCTGCCAGCCTGTCCTCCTGCCACCCTTGGGGGGTGGCATTAGTCAGCCCCAGGCCTGCAAAGAGCAGCTCCATGCCCAGCATGATCTCTCCCAATATCTTGTGTAAATCATCTCTCCTGTAAATATCTTCCCATCCAGCTGTCAGTGAATCTGGGGACAAATCTATTTGCTCTTATAACGCATCTTTCCTTTCCTCCTGCTGCCTGTAGTTCCTTTCGTCAGAGGTCATGATTTCCAACACTTTTATTGTGCTGATGCAGATATTTATTTGTTGTTGTGATCCCCAAAATAGGATGCGTTACCCTAGCTGCATCCTACCAGCAAGACTGACAGGTGATGCCCATCGTAACACATCCCAGAGCAATGCAAGCGTCAGCTTTTCAGGTTGATGGTCTGTACCCTCCGTTCCTTTTTTGCACTCCTGCAAAGCCCAGCAACTCTCTCATCTTAATGATACCCTTCATTTTTTCCTCTCTTGAAAGTACAGATCTTTTCATTTCCGCCTAGATTTTGGGTTTTGACTTAAATGGTTTTCTCTGGCTTTCCTGTGATTGCTGTGTCCTGGCCCTGCTCAGCCCTTGAAGTTTACCAGGTGCAGAAGTGGGTGTGCACAGGGCTGAAATTGGGAAGGGGAAGGAAAAGGAGAGGTGCTAAGCCCAGGAGGACAAGTGATAACTGTCTCTGTCCTGAAGAGCTTGCACCTGGGCGAGAGAGAGAGTGAATATCAAAGAGGGACAGAAGCAGGGAGAGCTGCAGTGACTTGGTCACAGTGTCACTGAGAGCCAGAATGGCTGCCCAAGCTGAAGCAGTCTGCCAGCTCCCCAAGCACTGGGGAAAACCATCTGGGACAGCAGGCGAGAGACCCTTCGTGTCTCTAAGAGACCTGGTTTTGCAGCGGGACTTGTGCTTTGAGCCCTTCTAAACAGGAGACTCCAGGCTTTGTCCTAGGGTTTACCTGCCCCAAAGCCTATTTCCCCACCCTGTGTGACCTCTCTGCTGGCCCAGCGTCGGGACCTGAAACATTTTTGCCGTGGCACGTCTTCTGGGGGACTGGCACGGGGTTGGGGGCTGTACATGGGCGACAGGAGCCCTGGACATCTGCCTGGTGCTCCATCTATTGCTCAGGCTGTCTGGTTTCGCCCTGGAGCCGGAGGAAGGTGAGAGCTGGCACCCGTAGCCAGTTGCAGCCATAACTCACACCAGGGAGCAGGCAGCTGCCTGCATGTTGAATGCCCACTGGGTGTCAAGACAGGACCGCAGGAAACCATTGCATTGCTTTGAAAAGCTGGAAAGCCTGCACACGGAGGAAGTTGCAGCTGCCTTTTAAGATGAAGTCACTCTTCGCTTGTGTTTTTGTTCGTTCCCCTCCCTGCTTCCCCCAGTCTCCCCTGGCGAGCGAGTGATGGAGCATGGCCCGGCGCCAGGCATCCAGCTCTCACGCCCCCTTCTCCTGCCCTCCCTGCGCAGCCGTCTGCAGAGGGATAGCACTGCAGCAGCGGTGAAAGGAGGACCTCAGTCAGCAGGGGCGGAGGAGCTCACGGCCCAGTGTCTGCAGAGGGACGTCTTCCATGAAGATGCCATCCAAGAAGATGACGAGGTCTGAATGCTCAATAGATGGATGCTGGGCACGTTCCTATGGCCACAAACTGACACATGCTCCTAAAACGTGCTGTTGGCAATCCAAAATACTTCCAGGGTAATTGCCAGCTTCCTGGTTGCATTCGCTAGGAAATGGGGACCGTGTCTGTGCTGGGACGGAAACTGGCTCCTGGGAGAGCTTGGCTGCACAGGGCTGGAGGGGGGCTCCCCATGCAGGTGGGGGTCCCTGCTTCCAGCTTCTGCAAAAACTGTCATTGGAAGCAGACCAGAAGCGTGTTTCAGAGGCTCCGGAGCCTTCCCGTGGCCTAGCTGACCCCGCCGATGCTGCGATTGCTGGTGTGAGCCTGGATCAGGAAGGGGAGGTGGAAGCGTGGCTGCTGGAGCAGAGCCCAGGCTTCCTTCCGTCAATCTGAGCTGCTGCATGAGAAGATGCAGGCATCTATCCTGTGGCGCTGGACCAAAACAGCTGGAAAGTGCCTTTTAGGCACTTGTAACTGCATCGGTGTTTCAGTACAAGACCTGGACAGTGTGAGACCACTTCCCAACCCTCCTGCTGGGTGTGGAGGGTCGGGAACGGCTGGCAAGCAGTCAGCAGGGCTGCCTGGGTTAGATGCATGGCAGCTGGACAAGGGTGATGGGACCACGATCCCTCGCCAAACTAGATAAGTGACATGGGGGCTCCAGAAGAGCTTTTGTGGTCCTTCTGATGCAAGGAAGGCTTCTTGTTTTGGGTGGTGTTCAGCAGCACATGGACACATGAAGCTGCTTGTTGCTCTGCAGAAAGGGCAGACGGCTGCCACGTGGCTAAACTGCCCAAGCCTGCATTTAAATTGGACTTTTAAACATGGTAGTTAGGGCTTAGTACAAAGCTAAAATGGCTGCTGCTTGTTTTGTGCTGGAAGTCACCATAGCCCTGTGCCCAGAGCCTGGCACGCCTTGTGGGTGTAGCCGGTGAGCTGTGGAGCTCATCGATTTGATGAACACTTGGGTAGAGGGTAGGGATGGTGCTGGGTGCCCTGCTGCACCCAGGGGATAGCTGGCCGAAGGCAAGCATGATGGCTTGCTTTGAGCTTGTGCACTAAACCTGCCCTGAAGTCCTGTTCTCCAGCAGCTTGTCTGGCGGAGTCTGCCTTGCTGCAGTTTTCGGGTCCAGGGTGTCTTCTTGGGGAGGCTCCTCCTGGTCCTCCTCTCCAGCCTGGAGCAAGGAGATGGCTTTCCTTCCCTGCTCCCACCACGCAGTTGGAGGGATGGGCTGGAGGGGGACCTCGGGCACACTGCCCCAGCCCTTGTGGTGATCTACAGCTTGTTGGACTGGATGCCTCTGCCTAGACCTTAGCCTCATCGCTTCCCTGGGAGATCAGCTTGCGCTTGTGCTGTGGGCACTTCCAGTACTTGGAAACCACAGTAAGCAGAAGGAAGCCAAGAGCGCCGAAATGAGTGATGGAGGACAAGAAAGCGACAGCTTGTGGGACCAATAGCAGAGAGGAGCTATTTACCTCCTGGCTGCTGGCTCAATCCTGTTGAGCAGCACAGCTGCCAGGCCGTATGGGAGCTGCCCTTGTGACTTGGACCACAATGAAAGAACCTGAATATTTCCACCCTTGGCAAGGCCACTTAAAGGCTAGAGCCCGGCCTAGACCTTAACCTTGTCTGAAAATGGGGTCAGGAAAGCAGCTGGGCTGGGCAGGAGGCCAGGAGGGAGATGACAGTTCACGCATTGGCAGAGAAAAGGCGACCGCTGAGGAGAGAGATGGCAGAAGCCCTTGAAGAAAGGGGAGAAATGAGAAAATTAGTTGATAAGGGACATGGAAACATGTGAAAAACATCACTGTGGGTTAAACGCAGTGAGAAAATGAGCTTTGTTCCTGTGCTGGAGGATGCTTTCTGAGACGGGGGGATGTACGGGGGGGGGTCTCCTGCCCCACCGCTCAGCTTGAGCAAAAACTACCAGTATCCAGAGGTGAGAGCCTGGTATAGCTCCCATTGTTGCTCAATTCGCCCTACAAACGTGTTCTCGCTGTCACAGGCGAGCCACAGAGGCGAGGCCGGGGCCGCATTCATCCTCTAGAGGAGAATCTGGGGTAGTGGGTTAGATGGAAGCGATTGCATCTGACATCTGCCCTGCTGCAGATGCTGGCGCTGGGAGCCAGCGTGGCAGGCCCAGAGGATCGCATTAATGCAATGCCATTACTGCTGCTCTCGCTCTGCAGTGCCTGGGGATTAAGGAGAGCCGGGGCGAGCTGTGAGCCTGCTTTGGAGCTGCAGCCACAGCAGCGCTCACCGTGCTTGGCTGCTGCCTTCCCCCCTGGAAAGGTGGTAGCCCACGGGAATCTGGTGCCGCTCCATCTTGGAGGCAGAGGAGCATGGTCAGTGGGGGATTTTTAGCCCAATTTCACCTGTTCATCGGACCTCTTGCCTTTCAGAATGGTGCCCTGGTTTTGTGCCGAGTAAAGGACCTGCTCTCCACCAGCAACCTGCCTAAAATGTTTCTTGGCAGATGCAGGGAGAGGTTAACTGGCAAGGAGCTTTGCCCAGCCACCATGCCTTTTAGCAGGAGCTGGGCCTGGCAGAGCTGCAGGGCAGTGGTACATGGCATGGCTGGGGTCTGGCTGACTCGAGGTGAGCCCGGCGCTGCCAGCCACCTCCTGCGGTCAGCTCGGGTGGATTTTGGCTTGAGCCACCCAGCCTCTGCCGAGGTTTTGCATCACTGGGGAAGGGGTTTTCACAAGCAATTTTGGCTCAAGCTGGGCTGGAAGTGGCTTGTTGCTGTGCTGGCAGAAGTTCAGCATCCTCCTCTAAGGGTGCTGTGGCAAACCATGCCGCCTTGTGTCCTCCCCACCTGCCTCGCGGCAGCACAGAGCTCGTGGATGTGACAGCATTGAGGCCACCTCCAAACTGGCTGGCTTCACGCGCCACTTCTCTGTGTGCCACCCTTTCAGCTGCTTCCCTCTGAAAACACACAATACCCTGAGGTTTTTTTCCCCATCCTGTGCAGGCAACGTGTATTTTGGCATGGAGATGTAATTGGGTTGAGGATTCGTGCTCCTCTTCCATTGGGAGCCCCGTGCCAGGTGGGTAGCAGGCTTGCGCCGCTGCAAGAAAACCAGGTTTTGCAGGAAAACCAAATACAGGGCTCATTCAGGCTGGCTTAAATGGCCTAGTACACTGCTCCCTTGGACATCTCTCCCAAACTCCCCATTTTCTGGATGCCTTCTTCCCCTCAGTTCTGCACATCTGAGCATTTGGCCCTCGGCTGTTGTTTGCAACATCAAAGCAAAACTTATTCCAACTCGAAATGCAATTTGCAGACCCCAGAATCTGTTACGTGGGGCACCTCAAGCAGTCAGATATTTGCAGGGCTGTGAGGGGCTGCAGACTCCTCGTCTCGTCCTTACAACGTGTGTCCTGGGGAAGATCAAATCCTATTAAGCCACAGCTCTCCTTGCAAATTATACCATGAGAAATCTGCCCCTTAGGATTTCTTATCAAACAAGAGGCAGAGCAGCTCTGCGCACGCTAGAAAAATCAGCAAGAGTCTGGTCCAGCCTTGAATAATTCAGTAGCTTGAGTAAGACAGGAGTGACTTAGCTCTTCAATGCAGATACCTCTTGGAGGTCTGCTCCAACCATCTCAGGTCCAACCATCTCAGGTCCAACCATCTCTCCTTAACCTAGTCTCATGTGACAGGTACTTCCCACGTCCTTGCTGTTGAGGTGGGAAACCATCAGGTAGACGTCAGGATCACAAACAGGACAAAAAAATGCCATTACATGACCTCTTCTGTGTTGGGGTCTCCTGTCCCAGTGCAGGTCCCAACTATTTGGGGAAAAACCAGGGAGCAAGAGCTAAGGTTCTGCAGGCTGTCAGTGTTCTAAAAGAGGCAGTGTCCTGGTGAACTAAGGGAGTTGTTTGCTTTCATCCTGCTTGATGACCAAGAGTTATCCTCATCTTTTGGGACAGCTTTTGGGAAACAAGATGATTTTCTCAAGGCAGTTGTCGTGGTTTAACCCCAGCCAGCAACTAAGCACCACGCAGCCGCTCACTCACTCCCCCCCCCACCCGGTGGGATGGGGGAGAAAATCGGGAAAAAGAAGCAAAACCCACTGGTTGAGATAAGAACGGTTTAATAGAACAGAAAAGAAGAAACTAATAATGATAATGATAACACTAATAAAATGACAACAGAAATAGTGAAAGGATTGGAATGTACAAATGATGCGCAGTGCAATTGCTCACCACCCGCCGACCGACACCCAGCCAGTCCCCGGCCGGCAATTCCCTGCCCCCACTTCCCTGTTCCTATACTAGATGGGATGTCACACAGTATGGAATACACTGTTGGCCAGTTTGGGTCAGGTGCCCTGGTCGTGTCCTGTGCCAATTTCTTGTGCCCCTCCAGCTTTCTCGGTGGCTGGGCATGAGAAGCTGAAAAATCCTTGACTTTAGTCTAAACACTACTTAGCAACAACTGAAAACATCAGTGTTATCAACATTCTTCTCATACTGAACTCAAAACATAGCACCATACCAGCTACTAGGAAGACAGTTAACTCTATCCCAGCTGAAACCAGGACAGCAGTCTTGTAGCAGAGAGCTGCACCCCAAAAACGCTGCCAGCTAGGACACCATCTGCAGTCCTCAGCATGAGTCTGCTGGGATTAGCAGAAACTGGATGTCCTCACCTGGTTGGGTGGCCCCAGCTAGTGGAGTTTGAGGACACATGGGTTGATGTTCTCTGCAGATGTTTGAGCTGGTCAAACTTGAGTTGGATTCTGAGTGCATTTTATGGATCTCTAGTCTTTGAACCCCAAACCTGGTGACTGCAATACGGACCAGTTTCTCAACACAGCCAAGGTACTGGATTCATCTAGCGTGGGGTCTTGTCATGCGTAGGTACCAGCTGTTTTGGGAAAGTGGTAAACTTTGAAGCCTGGAAGATTTCTGTTGCTTCCAAAACAAGTTTTTGGTACATTGCTGTGTCTCTCATTGTGCTTCCCCATCTTGAAATGCCAGTCAGAATGTGCCTATGCCACATGGGCAAACCTGGCCATGCCCAGCCATGACCCCACAGGCTTGCAAGCCTGGAGCTTGCTTCCTGGCTTTCATAACTCTTGAAGACATGAGCACAGTTGTTGGGTTTGCCATGAGCAGATCTGGATGCACAGAGTAAGAAATGTAGGTGACCAGGCTGAATGGGGCAGGAGCAGGCCAAGGGGACAGTTGATGTTTCTTAGGGTTTTTAGCTGAGATGTTTGATGCAGCCTCTGGTGTGTTGTAGACCTGCCCACCGTGCGAGGAGTTGGACATTACAGCACTGAACCGGCCTCTCTCCTTTCTGTGCAGCTCTGAGAGGATCCAGGTGACCCTGAACCTGGATGGAATAGTTCAGGTGCTGGACTGCCACCTTCATGACATGTCCATTGGGATGATGACCAGAATTGCAGTCCTGAAATGGCTCTACCACTTGTACATCAAGACTCCTCGTAAGGTAGGTTGGGGACTTGACATGCAAGCCTGCTGCTTCCTCTGTGGGACAGAGCTTGTCTGCTCCCAGCCTGTTCCTTGCTTTTGAATTGGCTATAATTATCTCGGCAGCATTGCAACCGTGTGTCCACCTGCCTTTTCTGAGAAGGCTTTGGCTGCTGGATACTCAGTAGCTTAAGGAAGCTCTCCAGCTCAGATAGCTCTCCAGTTCAGATGGAAAATGCTGGTGAAGTTTTCAGCAGCCTCCCCCAGGGTGAGGGGTCCTGTAGCAGGGGGTGAGGAGGCCTGTAGGACTGATGCTGTCCGTCTTTCTGTTTCTAGATGTTTCGACACACTGACAGCCTCTTCCCCATCTTGCTGCGGACCCTCTCAGATGAGTCTGATGAGGTAAGTGCTGCAGCTGCTGTAGAAGTCCTCCTGAAAACTTACTGTCTCCACATCTAGCTGGGCTTTGGATTTTGAGGGTTGAACCAAGGGATTTTGTGAGGCTTGTCCAGTGTTGGCACTGGGAAGTTTAACCCTGTTGACTAAACTGAAGAATACCCAATGCAGAGCCTGCAGGTAACTGCCTGGCTGAAAGCCCAGCCAGTTCCAGGCTGGAGTGTTTGGGACCCTCTGTCTGTATAAACCTTCCTCTCCATCTCTGAGAGCTGGTTCCTCAAAGCCTACTTCTAAAAATTTGGGAAGGCAGCTGGGGCTTCAGGTCCCAAAGCTGGTGTCTTCCCCATGGGGCTGGGTTGTGGTCAGGTCCTTGGTGAATGGGAATTTGGGCACCTTGTGTTGGCTCTGTAGAGATGCGAGGGGGATCATGTCCAGCCAGCGCTGCAAAATCTGAGTCACTAGGTGCTTAAGCAGCACCCACTGCTAGCAGGGCAGCATCAGCATTGCTTGTTGGGGCTGCAGTAGATGCCCAGTGGCATCAGGTTGGCTGGGAACTGCTCGGGTTGGAAGTGAGCAAAGAAAGTCAGGCAGCAATGAGTGAGCCAGTTTGCTCTGCCTTCGCTCTCCTGCCTGCGCCTTGCTCTCACAGTGCAGTGCTCTTCATCTCCCAGGCTGCTCTTTTCTTGAGGTGCTGCACCATTTTCCCATTTCCTTGTTTTTCTTCCTCACCCTTCTTCTCTGGTTCCAGTCATCTCAATTTTGGCGTCTTTGTTGTCTTCTCTCCCTCTCCGTTGCATCCTTGGAGTATTTCTAGTGCTTGGGTGGGAGGCTGGCAGCTTCGGCACACAGCTGGCCCAGGCACTGGTAGCAGTTCTGCCATCAGCTGGATACCTCTTGCCCAGAGCGGCAAATGATCCCAGCTGGTTTCTCAACCCAGACCTTCCTCATGGAATAAAAATCAGGTGCTATCTGCTTTGCCTTACATGCTCAGGGCATCAAACCCCAACCCCACAATAAATCCCATGTGCAAGGGGTTGTTAAGAGAGGAGGGAAGGGAATGAGGAAGCAAGGGAATGACTTGCAAAGGCAAGCGACTGCCTGGCCATTTTCCATACCATGCTGCTTATGATGCAAACCTTTCCAAAAGAGTCCCCAAGCACACATCTGCCTTTGCAACGCTCTAGAAAGCCTGCATCTTGCAGATAGTCTCTCCAGCTTGGCAGGGGATCGCAGTGAGTCATGTTGCAATTACACTGCTTATTAATATTTGAAAAAAGCAGTGAAGAAAGGACCCTGGTGATGCATTTCCTCCATGTGACATAACTGGGAATGGCTCAAAAGTAATTTTAAGCTGATTTATTTAATCCTGTCTTCTATTTATTTAAATGTTTGGAGGGTTTTTTTTTTTTTAAGGAAATCCATAGACGAGTCAATCCATTAAACACCACTGCTCAGCTGGCTCCCAACCAGATTTGCTGCTTTCTGGAGAGGAACTAGAAATGACCGAAATAGTAGGGGGTTTTTGAGCTGGGCATTTTTGGGAACAATGAGAACAGATTGAGCTAGCTAACCTGCAGTGTCAGTGCCTATTAGAAAAGGGGACGCAGGGTGCTCTCTTAGCCATTACTCCCTGCTCAGTACAGTATTTGTATGCACAATCGCGTCGTCCTGGAGTAGATTGGGATTCCCAGAAGCTCTTGGCTAACGGGCTGGAGATCACCGGGTTAGTGTGGGGTCCTATGTGAGCTAACCCATCAGCTCTCTGGTGGAAGCATCTCCCTCCCCTTTCCAGGTAGGGGCTCCGCACATTGTGTGATGTAGCTCAAGGTGTATACACATCTTCAGGGGGTTTTTTGCTGTCTTCATCCTGCAATGCTGCCCTCTCCAAGGGAACCTGGCTGGGCAGCAGTGCCGGTACCATCTTTCTTCCCAGCAAGTTTGAACATCCTTTTGCAGTGCCTGTGGATCCCCTGGCTTCCGTGCACTGTTTGGAGGCTAGCTGTCGCTTTCCTGATGCACCCTGAAGCTATCCTGGGGCAGTTGTTTCTTGCTAGCTCATCATCAAAGGACAGTCTGGCTTTGGGGGTTCAGTGCTAGTCAGGGCTTTGCATCAGACTGAAAGACCATGCTCAGGCACCTTATTCTTAAGGTCTGGTCTTGCTGAGCTGCTCCAAGTCTCTCTGTGCACTTGCCATGAATAATCAAGCCTAAGGCAAATAGACTTGAGCTGGATGGAGCCGGATCCATGCCCTTTAAGTTGTCACGCCTGTTTTTATTGTTCAAGTAGCACAAGGTGTTGCACCACCTCCACCATGCTGAACAGGGGCCAGTATCTCATGATGCATCTGTGGCATCCTGAGTCATCCCTGCCTTTTCTACTATTCCCCTTCCTACCCAGTTCTCCTGGGCCAGTAAAGAAATGGTCAAGAGACCTAGTTAAGATTCACAAAGGCAGTGCAGAGAAGTCGGAGCGAAGCTGAAGCAAGCAGTTCTCTTTGATATGTAGACAAGTCGGGATACAGGATTCCTGGCTGTCAGATGTTGTACTGCTGCACTGCGTCACCTTGTGCTGGTTCCTGTGCTTCCCCAGCAGGGAGATGCTCCATCCTGCATTTGAAACCTGGTTTTGAAGGCAATCTCTAAAAGCTGTGGTTAAAATTTGATGTGCTTAAAAACTTCCTTACAGCTCCAAGACTAACAGGATCCTGCTGGGAGTCGTTTTTTCTGCACAAGCTGCTCCTTTTGTCGGTGTGAGTCTCGCAGCCCTGACACCCAGTTGAAGAACTGATGTTAGAAAAGGTGAAAAGTCAAAGCCCAAATGCTCTTTGGGAGCAGCGGGTTGGATCTTTCCACTCACAGGTTAAAAGCACTGCTGCTGATAGGCACTGCTGAAAAGAAGACCTGTTCTTCAGGTCTTCATCTCCCTCTGCAAGCTCCTGGTGCAAAGGCAGCTTCTGAGGTAGCTGTTCAGTTCCCTAGGTCCTTCCTAGCTGGGACCCAGGTGCTGAGTTCAGGTGAACGCAACAGGCAGTGAGGGTGTCTCTGAGAAAACCGTGAAGCAGTGATGCTGGTGGTTTTCTTTATTTGCTTTGTTTTCCTTTCTCAGGCCCCAAAATTGAGTTACTTCTTCACAGCTGAACATGTTCCTGTTTGCTTATCTGCTTCTCTCAATCTTGCTGGGGGTTGGAAGTTGTGCTGGGACTTTTGTCTGACTCATGGAGGAATGACGCATGAGGTGGAGCTGGTGTCTGATGTGAAGCAGGATAGACTCTGGCTTCTCAACTCTGCTAATGTGAAAACCTACCTGCATTTATGCAGTGGTCAGGCAAGGCTTTGAATACAACAAGAAGATTCAAATGATTTTTTAGCTTGCTGTTTGCAGCTGTATCTCCTAGAGCATCCTTAGAAGTGTCCTTCTGGCATGGGACAAGAGTTGGTACTCTTCCCTAGAGAGGGTTAGCTAAGTCTGGGCTACCACTGGCTGTGGAGGTAGTGATACTCCTGAACATCTGCATGACCTTCAAGCCAACCTCTTCACGACAACCTGAAACATTCTGCCCCTCTCTTGGGTTTCCAGTATTAAACAAGGGGAGGAGGAACCCCAGGTATGGTGGTATACTGGTATTCGTCTCTCTCCTTTGCTGTTAACTCGAAGCCCAGGTCTCTGCCCTGCTCTCTGAGCTGTGCTGTCACACTAAATCCTGGCAAACTTCTCCCATCACGCCCGATTCCCAGTACAATGAAGCTGAACAAAAGCTTGTGCCAAAGCGAATAGCTGTCTTAGCATGGTTTGGTTTGGAGCTTTGCTCTGTTGGTTTTAGAGCCATTGTGCTCCAGCTCCCAGCCTTTAATTCGCCTCAGCCGAAATATTGTGACTCCATGCAAAGCAGAGGGTGTAAACTAAAGACTGCAAAGAGAAGAACTCTAATGTACGTGTGCCTGGCTTTTATTTTAATTTTTCTGGTGGTAAAGCTTCTCTGGAGAGAGACTCAAAGGTACCAAAGCAGGGAGGCTACCCGTTTTCAAGAGGGAAGTTACACTGAGGGTAAGCTTAGGACTGAAATGGTGGGGTGTAGAGAGAGGTATATAATTTCAGTTGGATGGTGGAAAATGTGGTCAGCCCAGTTTGCAATATTTGGAAGCAGCCCGTAAGCAGAAGTCTTAAAGCAGGGTGGGGTGATGCTTTCTTCAAGGACTCAAGGTATTGCAAGGGCACTGGGTTGAAAGATAAACTGTGCACTGCATTGTGTAGGAATAGGAAGTTTCTTGGGGGGAGTGCGATCCACAGGGAGCTTCTTAGCTCAGCACCAGTTCCAGACCATAATTGCATGGCTTGCGTATACATATGCACATACAGTTTGTACACATACTGAACAACTAGTGGTAAACTGGCAGTCCAGGCTCAAGATGGTGCTTGTAGCATTCCTGGGTGAAATCACAGAGCAGACTAAAACCACAGAAAACCCCTCTGCCACGGAGGCCAGGCAATCCCTGTCCTGGGGAGCTGGCTTAGGGTGGGTCCAGGGTGGGATGAAGGTGTAGGATGCGGGATTTGGTGAGCTTGGCTTTGGGTGCCTGGCTCCCTGCGGTGCAGAGGAAGGTGCTGGATGGGAGACAGGGTAGCAAATAAAAGCCTATCATAAGCTCTGGGACTCAGGGTGCTGAATTTGAAGGGGTTGCAGGCATCCAGCCCCCCACAGCATGGCCTGCAGGGATTCTCCAGGACAGCTCCAGCTTCCTCCAGCCCCATCCCGCTGGCTGGACCTGTCCTGCCTCCTTCCCTGCCCTCTAATGCATGAAGAAATACCTCTTTGGTATCCCGCCCTGAGACTGGTATCAGGTGGTGTGTTAAGCTCCCTGTATGCTAATTAAACACATTTAAAGAGGTGCTGTGACAGTGCTTGTGCTCCTGCCGCTTGGGGTGTTGCAGACCTGGCCCTCGCATACCCGCAACAGGGAAAAATGGGGGATTTTCAAAAGCAGGAGTGAGGATAGGGAGTTTTCAGGTTGCAGCCTGATTTTGGGTGGTTGTGGCCATATTACCAAGTGACTCCCACACGCACTGCCTGCTGTATTCGCTGATGCTGTGAGCATGTGTTAGCACAACCTGGCAGGATTTGCCCTGGGGAGGAGAGGAGAAGCCCCCAGCCCTGCTGCCTTCCCTCTGCTCCCCATACCCTCCCGGTCGCAGGCTGAAATCTGGTGGCTGTAAAGGGAAAAAAAAGGTCTTGGCAAGATTAGAGGATAAAAATTGTTGTGCCCGGGACCTGAAAAGAAGTCCAGTTAAATTGGTGTAGGAAGATTAATGGTGGTTTTTCTTTTCTTTTTCTGTCTTTAAAGCTGGTGGAGGTGGCGGGGGGGGGGCAGACACAAGTTTGCTTTTCACACCATGTGTGTCTGGGGCTTGGCCAGCCTTGTTGCTGGCTGCTCTTGGCTCCAGGACTGCCTGCCCGTGCTTGCCTCCCCTACCCTGGCTATGGCTAAAAGGTTTGGAGGGAGAAAAAAAAAATTAAGCCCTCTGGGGAAGAACTCGGTGCACGTGGCGGCAGCGAGAGGCTGCATTGGAGTGGTGGAACAGGAGGAAGCACCCAGCAGCATCCTCAGCTTTCCTGGTCCCCACCAGGTTGCTCCTCCACCCCACTGTCTTGCCAGTTCTGGTGATGCCGTGGGGTTTTCCACAGCCTCCCTGATCTTGGTCCCCTTTGAAGAAGTGCTTTGCAGCCCTTACACTTCTTGTTTTCCATCTTGGTAGCATCTTGCTTCAGTTGAACTCCTGTCTTCTCCTTGGCAAGAGTAACCTTGTCCATGGTGTTGTGTGCTGCATTTGATTGCCCAGGGAATACTCACCCTCTGGGACACCCGAGGCTGCCCGTGAGCACCTCCCTGCTGCATGCAGGCATTTTCATATTTTCACTTCTGTTTCTTTTCTAAAAAACTTTTCCATAAATACCAGTAAGGACAGCATCTTCAGGAGCTCAGTCCCTATCCTTGCCATCATGTGTGCCCCAGGAGCTGTTCCTGCAGCCTGCCCTGGTGTCCTGGTAGTCAGCATGTGCTGCAGGGTGCTAAGTCTTGCTTCTCAGGGGTCTGCAGCAGATTTGGGGTCACCTCCCCCCCACCAAGAGCATCAAGGCGATGCATTGCACATAGGGGGTGCACCCCATCCGGCACACACTATTCAGGGGCTGCTTTTCCCCTGCGCCGCCGCCAGCAGAGCTGGTCTCGGCTCCGTTCAACCAGAACAAGCGGCAAATTAACCTGACCTAGATCTGGAGAAGCCGGAGAGACCGACAGTTTTGTGTGCCCTCAAAATCCGTGCTCTGGAGGCAATACAGGGAGAAATCTTGCCTATTCCTAGGGAGGAGAAGTAGCTTATTTATAACTGTCTGATAACCTGCTCCTCGTCCCCTGGCTGTGCAAAGAGCTCTTCATCCCCATGCTGGGACCGGCTCACAGTGTCAGCCGGGTCTCCCCATCCATCATGATGCTGCGTTCCCTGCTCCTTCCAATTCACGCTAACCAGCCCCATGCTTGCCCGGAGCAGGGGCACACCACCCTACATCTCATCACCGCTGGGAAACCTTCATGGAAATCCCTTCTGGGTCAGGAAAACATCCTTCGGTGGCTGCTCCTCTGGGCTGGCCGTCAGGATCGCACCCTCGCCCAGCAGCTGGGAATGGCTTCGGCCCTTGTGCTCCCTGCGCTGTCGGGCCCGATGGCCGCTGGGCTCCTGACGGATGGGACCGGCTCGCTCCTGGCGCAGCCAGCCTGTTGCCATGGCAATGGCAGGATATTGCTTTCTTACAGCCTCCTCACTCACACAAAGCCAGCCGCCAGCTCCAGCTTTGCTTAGCGCAGGGATGTGCAGTGCATACCAAGCGCTCCTGGCTTTCCTCTGTCCCAGTCTGGGAACCCACTCCAGAGCGTTCAGGCAAAAAACAGCAGGAGCCGGAGCTCCTTGCTTCTTTCCCACGGCTGGAAAACCCCGGGTCTTCGCAGCCGCCTGCTCCTCCTCTTCCTCCAGGTGTTTGTGCACCCATCCCTCCTGGTTCTTATTTCCTCCATGTTTTTCAATTGTAAAATCCAGTCCGTGCTGGTTTTTTCCACCTCCTGCCTGTGACCTACACGGCTGGCTTGGGGGGACACTCTCCAGAGCTCGAGATGTCCAGTCATGCCCTCGGTGGTGCCAGTCACTGCTGGCCAGGCAGCCTGGCCAGAGCATCCTGAGCCCAAGCAGCATCTTGGAGATGGGGCTCAGCACACGGCTCTGAGAGGTTGGATTAAGGATCTGACCTCATGGGATAAGACATGGCTCTAAATGCTTTGGGAGGCAGCAGGGGTGATTTTTTTGCCCAGCCCAGGGTCTTGATCCTGTTTCCTGGTGCCATGGGAGCTGCTGGTGAAGCCTACGCCGGCTGATAGCCCACGTGCTGGGCTGGGTGGGAGAGCTTGGGAAGGGGATCAGGGCAGCAGCAAATGCAGCAGGGTGGCAATTGCAGGTGGTTGGTTTGTGCTGTACATCAGCTATGTGTTGAGATGGCCGTGGCATGGTAGGATATGCCATCCTGGTTGTATTGGCACACGTGCTGGGTTTGGCAAAATCAGTAGCCTGAACAAGAGTCCCGGCTCTCACCCGCCTGCTGGCTCTGGTAGCCAAGGCCTGAGTCTCGTTGCCAGTTTTAGCCAAAGACAGTGAGACTTTGAAGCCTCCATGGGTGTTATTCCCCCAACTGTGAGAACTTGAGACCCGAATTAGTGCCTTCCCCCGCTCAAAGGCTGCAAGTTCAGCTGAGCCACGTGATTAGCCACTAGAGAATCTACATAGGGCTTCAGGAGACCAGGCATTGTGAGCTCTGCTCAAGGGCATCCTGTGCTTGAAATGAAACACTGCCAGCATCGGTTTATCTGAGCCACTGATGTTTGAAAGTCCTGCAAAGCTGGGTGGAGAGGGAGGACCAAGGTCTTTGCTCTGCTGAGGACCATGGCATTGCTTCCCTGGAAGAGGATGAAGGCTGTCGATGGCAGTGATGTCCCATGATGGTAATGAGGTCCCGTCCTTGACAGTGTCATAGAGGTGCCATATTCTTCAGGCACAGCAGCATCATAGCTCCTCATTGCACAAGTTGTTGTTATCTTTTGTTTTTTCATCCCCAGGGGAGCTGCAGGCTGGGACTTAATCGTGTTTATAGGCACAGGGTCTTCCCAAGCGTGCTGAGCCTCGTGGTGCCTGTGGCAGGCTGCTTCCCCACAGCCAGCTCTGCAACAAAGCCTGGACATGTGCTGCCTGCTCAAAGGCTGTTGGGGGCTTAAAAATGAGCTCTAACTACAAAAAAAAAAAAAAAAAAAAAAACAGCTTAAGATATCTGCAACAGAGAAACCCAGAGGTCCCTCTTTCTTATTTTCAGGTGTCATATTTTCAAGTTCTGCATGACCAAAAAAAGACATAACTGGCTTTTTTTTCAGGGGCATGGGGGCTTTTGGTAGCTCGGAAGCTAAAACTCCCATATAACTGCAGCTCCTCAAAACAATGCCTTGCGAGAACATGTGGAAAGCCTGGGACGTTGTGCTGGTGGGCAAGGGATGGTCATGGATGTGCTATGCTGGATGCTGATGAGTTAGACATGCAATCGGCCCTTTTTGGCAGCCTTTCTGCGCTGCTCAGCCCCGCTACACTCAGAGCATCAGCGATGGCTGATGAAACATCTAGACCCAAGGACATTTGAATGAAGGGGGACCCAAAATAGCCTGAGACATGAGAAGGGTTGAGGACAAGAAAAAAAAAAACCCACCCTGTAATAACTTATCCAGAAATGCTATATATAGACTAATTTGACGATTTCTGGAAGGAAAGAAACCTGAACGGTAGCTCTGCCTCGATGTCCTGAGTGCAGGCAGCCAAGCCTGCTCTGGCCTGCTGCCCTGAATGGGGTGAGCTGGGGGTGTGGGGGGTGCAGGCAGGCAGACTGGTGTTTGCCCCTGAGAACATCCCCATGCTCTTGCTGGGGTTGTCCCAAATCTGCAGTTATGAAGGGGAGTGGAGAAGCAAAACCCAGACCTCCCTGAAGTGGGAAGAGGGAGAAGCAAGCCCTGCTCCTGATTGTGTAAATTTCGTTTAATTTTACGTGCTCCCTTGGGACTCACAGAGCAGAAGCTGGGGGGTTTTGCCCCCTTTTCTCTTTCCTGCCCCATCCTCTCTGCAATCATTTGAAATTTCCACTTTGAACTTCATAGGTAGCCCTCTCTTCCCTACGCCTTTCTTGATGTGCTGGGATTTGGTGTTTGCTTCCCATCTCGCTCTCTCCAGCCGTGGGTTTGGAAAGGAAAGCTGACCCTGCCAGCTGCCTCTGCCCCTGTGCATGCTCACCCTGTGCCGTCCCTCTCTCTGCAGGTTATCCTGAAGGACCTGGAAGTGCTGGCCGAGATCGCTTCTTCCCCAGCAGGACAGACGGAGGGTCACGGTCCCTCCGACGGCTCCGATATGCGACCTGGCCCAGTGGAGCTTCACGTCCCGGCCAGGGCCGGCCAGCTGAGCTCTGGTGAGTGCCACAGCTCCGTGCTTCCCCACTCCCTTGATGCTCTGGCACCAGTCAGATTTGCTCGGGCAGGCAGAGAAACCTCTCTTGCAGTAATAAATGAATATATCCATTCCTACCTGGCATAGCTTGGGGATTGAGTCTGCCATGGTGCAGAATAGGGCACTGCTTTTTTTATTTTTATTGCTCTTTCCTCTAGCTCATGTTTTGTGGATTTAGGACTCTGTTTAGCAGCAGGATGCTGCAGAGGCTGGTGTGGAGGGAGGTCATTATTGCTCCATTTTTTTATGGGACCTTGGGTACCAGCCTCTTCTCTCCTTGTAAAAGCCCTCAGAGCCTCTAAAAGCAGCTTGGGACAGCATGTTGGCTGTAGACCTGGGTGCCCAAAACATAGATGCATCTGCAGAGGGTTCAGTCTGTGTCCATGTTGCCTGTTCAAGGCTGCCCACGTTGACTAGGAACTGCTATGGTGCTCTGAGTGTCAGGTAGGACCTCAGAAGAGAGATGAAGAGGGACAACCCTATTTTCTAGGGGCTGGGGGGATAATAAAAAGCCTTTCGTTAATCATCGCGGTACATCAGGAAGTTTTTTCCACCTTCCCTCGTCTGTGGCTCATCTTTTGCAGTTGCTTGGCTGCCCCTTCTCCTCCTCTGCTGCTATTTAAGGGCCTCCCTGTTGTACTCCCCAGGCTAGGTCATCCCGGCCAAAAGCACGTTTCATGGCAGCTTTGGATTGCAACCCGAGCGCAGAGCCAAGGCTGCCTCTCCCTGCGCAGGATGCAGCCACGGGGCCTTGCAAAATCACCGCCAGAGAGGGAGGCTTCGCTTTCCGCTCCCCAGGCTTTGTTTTCTCTGAAGATCCCAGATCACTCACCCCTCCCTGGGCTTAGAAATGTCTGCACCAGCTCAGGTTTCGGGTTGTTTGGGGTGGGTTGGTGGTTGTTTTTTTTTTTTTTTGCAGATCTACCTGTTTCATGCTGGCAGCTTTAGCTCTGCGGTGGAGGGGTGGGGGTTGCAATGCTGGCAACCTCCCCAAGCCCTCTGCAAGTCTCATCCATCCTCCTCGTGTCAGAAGTGAGACCGCCTGGGTGGAGCAGCTCCTGCAGTGCTGGCCAAGCAGCTGAGGAGCTGCAGTTCAGCTCACACTGATGGTTGTCTGAGGTTTCCTTCCTTGTGGATGATCTAAAAATAGCAGGCTGGATGGCGTGGATCCTAACGGCTGCCGTGGCCCTGGTTAGCTATCTGGAAGAGCAACTTGGCTTCACTTATTCAAGTGTAACGTTTGAAAAGAGTCTGGCTCTCCCCATGTTGAGCAGATCTGCTGGAGCCGGAGCTCCTGTTGCCCCAGTATGGGGCAGCTTGCCCCCATGCAGGTCCTAATGGGCACTGGCTTTCTCACCTACTTTCCTCTTCCTTGTAACGTGCCAGGAAATTGTTTCTTTGGAAATTTATTTGGGGCTGAGCTTTGCAGGGTTATTGGCTTTTACCCAAAGGCAGATGTTTTGGGGGAGGGGAAAAGGAGCCAGTTCATTGGCCTTGGACATTTAACATGGTCCCAGTCCTGTCTGGCACTGACCACCCGGGGCTGAGACTGGGATCGGCTGCTGGGCTTGGGTTCCCAGGGGAGTTGAGGGGTCACAGCTGGGCCAGGCCCCTCCTGGATTACACCTGGAAAAGCAGAGGCTCTTGGAAAAGACTTTTTGTCGGAGGGTTGTTGTGGGGACAGGCTTTTTTTGGAGCAGGAGGGTGGCTAGTGGAAATTCCTGTATCTGCGTGTGGTCCCGGAGTAGTGATGTACGGTGAGAGTGAGTGAACCCAAACTCTGCCCTGCAGGCTGAGACGTTTGTGAGTACAGCACTTTCCAGGCAAAAATCACCAGGTGCTGGCACCAAAAAGAAGGTGTACCCCTTTCTGGGGTCACCATTTTTTTATTGGGATGTATGGGAGTGTTCCCCAAGCACACCTCACTGGCTAGCATGCCTTGGCTCAGACAATGCTTTATTGGCAGTAGGATGCTCTTGCACCATTGGAGGGGAGGCTGCAGGGTACTAGTGCTTCCCCCCGCGGTTAAATCTCTCCGTTCCCTTCATCCCACTTTAGACTGAGATGCCATCGGAGCTGGCAGTGGGAGGAGAGCTGCTGAGCCATCTCAGGTCTGCTCCTTTCCTACCTCTGAGGCCCATCCGAGCGTGCAGTTGGTGGCTTTGCAGGTAAACGAGCATGGAGACCCCTTAAAATCCTTGAGCTCACAGCAGGGTTTCTATGCTGTGCTCTCCATCTCAGCATTCCAGGCTTTGCCACCCGAGCAGCGAGGGCAGGAGGGGAGGTGGAAGGGGCCGGTGCCCCTGTGGTCTTCCCTCCACTTCCTCTCGCTCCCTTTCTTCCCTCGGGATGTGTTTATGCAGTTGTTTCCCTGCCATTGAGTTCGGTTTCCTTCAGATGCTGGTTGATTAGTCAGGAAAGCCGTGTCCCACTTCCGCAGCCCGTTCCCAGCTCCAGTTTTTATTTAGCTGCTTTGTTCTCCGGTTACGTAAGGTCAGCTGCCCTCAACGCCTTCTCCAAACACAATGAGTTGGGGCCAGCCCAGCCCAGCATCTCCTGGGAGACCCAACATCTCTCCTCCTAACCTGCTCCAGCTGCCCTGGGAGAGGGTGACTGGGTACTGACCTCCATGAGTCCCTCCTTGGTTATCTTCTGCCCGCTTTTCAGGGACAAGGTCGTCAGGGCTGTGCCCAAGAGCTCCCCAGTCTTTGGGGTGATGGTGCAGCTGCCTATCATCTGGTTTGTATGATGGGAATCCAGCTGTCTGCTTTGCTTCAGGAGTGTTTTGCCAACCCTGTAGAAGTGGGGACAAGGAGCAGATGACCCAAGAGTGGTTGTCACCAAGGCCAGCGGGTCGAGGGAGGTGATTATGTCCCTCTACTCCGCTGTGGTGAGACCACACCTGGAGTCCGGCATCCAGCTCTGGGGTCCTGAGCACAAGAAAGACACCGACCTGTTGGAGCGAGTGCAGAGGAGGGGCCTGAAGATGGTCGGAGGGATGGAACATCTCTCCTATGAGGATAGGCTGAGAGAGTTGGGGGTTGTTCAGCCTGGAGAAGAGAAGGCTCCAGGGAGACCTTATAGCAGCCTTTCAGTACTTAAAGGGGGCTTATAAGAAAGATGGGGACAGACCTTTTAGCAGGGGTAAATAGTTTGTAGCAACAGGACAAGGGGTAATGGTTTTAAACTAAAAGAGGGTAGATTCAGACTAGATATAAGGAAGAAATGTTTTACAATGAGGGTGGTGAAACACTGGAACAGGTTGCCCAGAGAGGTTGTAAATGCCCCATCCCTGGAAACATTCAAGGTGAGGTTGGACGGGGCTCTGATCTAGCTGAAGATGTCCCTGCTCATAGCAGGGGGGTTGGACTAGATGACCTTTAAAAGTCCCTTCCAACCCAAATTATTCTATGATCCTATGATAGCATAGGTGCAAGTCCTCTAGCCTAGTCTTCAGTTCTGCTCTGCATGGGAGGAGAAAGCCCCCTCCAAAAGGATGCTGGTACAATCTGCTGCCTCGTAGAGGGTAGCTCTTGCACATATCTCTTCCTTTCTCCACAGCTGTGTAAGGAGAAGCGGTTACAACCCTTTGTTTCACAGGAGGCACTTTCCTCTCCAGCTCAGTCTGGTCTCTCCTGCCTGGCTTCCTGCCAGAGATGGTGGGGACGGTGGCGTACCCTATGAGCACCTCACGCTATAGGATATTTACTGGGAGGCTGACTCCATACGTGGGTGCGCTAACACACCTGAGGTCATTGGTTTCTACTGGCAGTCCATGGATATCCCAGCAGTCAGTGGATTACTCTGGAGGAGGCTGCTAAAAGTCCCTGAGAAACGTGGTCTGTTGAGTCCAGACTTGCTGTATCCCCCCTGGAGAACACGCAGCGCTCCAGAGCCTGGGCTGAGCTTGTGCTGTTCTGTGATAGGGGTTTCCTATCGACATCTTCCTGAGGGATTTTGTTCTCAGTGAGCCAAACCACTCCCTTTACGTTGTCTATCAGTTCATTTGTGTAGTCCTAGATCTGCAGAGGCGGCAGTGTAGGACAAGGTCCTACCTCCAGATGGTCTGGAAAACATTAGGGTGGTCTATGAAAACACTCGGCAAGAGTCTGTAGGGTGCACGGGGTCCGTGAAAGGTAGGAAAGAAAAGCTGGCTCATGTTTGCTAAACTGGCAAGGATGAAAGGGAAACGTCTCCATACTCATCCTCTCCACAAAAGGCAAGGAGACAGCTGACATCACACCATGGACCACTTGCTCTCAAAGGAGCCAGTTTCCAACAGCTTTCATGGGATCAGGAGTACGACGGCAGGGAGTGAAGGAGCCAGATGGGCAAGAGAGGAGAGACCTGTTGCTCCCGAGTGCTCTGAGCTCAATGCTCTGGTTCCTGATGGTTGGTGGCTCTGCCATCTCCTTCCCTACTGGTCTGGAGCTGTTCAGTAGGGTTAACTTTCAAAAATGCTCTTCTGCCTCTTGGAGAGGAGGGGAATTAGAAGAAAAGGGTGATTTGTTTCTTTTCCTGGATGCTCTGCAATGGAGGTGCTGGGATGCCCTGGAAAGCCCCAGGAGAGACCATCCAGACTGTAGCCATAACTCACCTGGCATCTCTTCAGGTATCGATCCCTCCTGCATTTGGCTGGCCAGAAAGGCTGGGGATTCCTAAATAAAAGCTGGGATTACTGGTCTGTAGGGGCTGACTCAGGAGAAGTTGAAGGTGTAGATAAGATGACTCCTAGCCAAGCACACCCTGTGTAGTTACTTTGCTGGGCTGCCTCAGTTTCCCCAAGATGTTGCAAGGAATTTGGAGGGCAGGGGGAGAAATGAGAGGAAAACAATTAAACTAGCAAAATGAGTATTGGTGCAGAAATGGCTGAGCAAAGCCCGTTGCTGCTTGTTCCTGCTTGCGTGTTATCTTCCATACGCTTCACCTTTCCATGTGGTAGCCTCAGCCCGCTCTAAACTC